TGCTCTTTGTCCCTGGATCCTAGAGGTAAGTGGGGCTTGAGGGCTGTGGGCCAAAGGGGTGGGGGGTGCTGTCAGCCCCAGATGGCACACTGCAGCCAGAAGCAGGGCCAGGGGGTGAGGGCAGGGGGCCCCGCTGGCAAGCGATGCAAGGCACAGTGTGGTGGTGCCTGCCATATGCACGCTGCACACATGCTGCCCGGCCTCCTGCCTAGGGGAGGGGGAGGAGGAGGCTTGTATGTGCCAGCCAGGGGCAAAGGGTTGGAGCTGTGCCAGCCTGCAAGAGCTCTTTGCAAAAAGCAGAGAATCCATGGATTTCTCTGCCAAAGAGGGAAATCCATGTTTTCTCCGATAAAAACAGGGAATCAGTGGTTTTCTCCAATTTTCCGTGGTAAACAGAAAACCTAGACCCCTGGTGATAACCCATTAGTTTAGTTTACCAGTTATCCTTTAGCTCTGGGCCCTTCCATACCCCAGCAGGAATGGGAAAGCAGAGGGCATGCAGCCAAGGGAGGGAGGGAGGTGGTGGTGGACTAGCACTCATAGCCCAAGAGGAAACCAGGGAGCAGCCTACTGACTTATCAATTAAGCAATCAGCTGTGCCTCCACAGGTGCTCCCTCCCACGGCAGGGCTTCACCTGGGCTGTGCTGTCTGGCTGGACTTGCCTCATCCCCTCCCTCCCCCCAGTCAAAGCGCTCCTAGAGTCTGTGGCTCCTAGCAGCAGCTGTGTCTGAGCTGCTGTGTTATATCACTTAATCCTTTAACAGATATAAATTAGAGGAAGTTAGACTAATATTTTTAAAGCCATATTTACATTCTAGAGTGAAATCCACTTCTACCAGCACCCATGGTCAGACTGGTATGGACTGTGGGCGTTTGTGCCTTCCTCTGTAGCAGGGGGCATAGATAGCCCTCTACCCAGGACTTCTTGAGCATATGCTGACAACATTTTATAGAAGCAGGACATTGGCTACTGTGGTTCCTCTGCTTTACCTGTGGCAGGTTAGGATGTTAGGACTATGTTGCATCAGGGTCAAGGATAGTCTTACGGTTTAGATCAGAGTGGGCAAAATAATGCCCATAGGCTGGATCTGGCCCACCATGGGATTTTTATCTGGCCTGTGGCAAGTTGTTCAACCCCAACCAGCCCAGGTGCATGAAACAGCCTGAGCCATCATGCATGCAGGGAGGCAGGGGCAGCCCAACAGCTGGGCTTAGCTTCTTGACAGCACCCTCTACAACCCACCAACAGCTCATGGAAGCTCCTTAATTGGCCCCCAGACCAAATAACTGCTCACCCCTGGTTTACATTACAGTTGCATGGGATGGGGTTTGGATAGGGATGATTATGCCTCAGCCATGAGGGTTGGAACTATATGACCTCTAGGAGGTTCCTTGCAGTCTAACTTCTCTATGACAGAGGCCCCAAAAGTGCACCCATTCCCTTGAGTCGGAACGCAACCTTTTGGGAGAGAGAAGAGCGTGCAGAAGGTGAGAGAGGAAGGCTTCTTAACAGTTCATCGTCTGCTCCATTACTTGTACCTTCAGACAGGGCTGCTATACTAGCGGGTTCATAGGCTAGGCACAATCAGATATGCTATAGTCCAAAGCGTTTTACAGAAAAAACAAATCTCAAGTATCAAGACTAGTACTTTACACAGAGGCAACCCGAGCAGGGTGCAGGGCCCAAGACAAATCAGCCCATGCGGGACCCCGGCCCTACTCTGATCCCACAGGTCCTGGACCCAAAGAAGCTGCTGCTGCCGCCACTGACAGTAGCAGCAGCTGGACACAGAGCCACCACTTCACCCAGCTCCGTGTCACTGCTGCTCCGTCCGGCTCTGCAGGGCCCCACAAAGCATGGGGTCTGGGGTGGTCACCCTGATTCACGCCACCCCTTAGGGATGGCCCTAACTTTACACATCTTTTTTTTTTTTTTAAGATTTCAAAGTGCCTGTGAAGAGAAAAAGCCAGGGGAGTCGCCTAGGATTTCAGCCACACTAATTTCAAGCTTAAAAGGACAACTAGCTACCTAACTCTCAGTCAGTTTTCCCACACATGAAGTTTGTTTACATCTGGAAGGGCTAAGAGAGAAATTCCATAGTGTCCCTTGTATAAATGAAACAGCTACTCTTGCTGCAAAAAGGAACAGGAAAATAGACATTTAGAAATGTCTAAAGAATTTAAAGTGTTATAGACTTATGTGGAGGGGCTCGAGTGCCCAGCTGCTACAAGCATCTTAACCACAGAGGCCTGAGTTTTCAGAAAGAGCTCAACACCTGCTGTTCTCAGTGGGGATGATGGGAACTTCTGGTACAGACTAGTTCTGAAATCAAACCCAAAATACATACCACTGATTTCACACTTAAACTTATGGTTCTGTTAATTGGAGAGGAGTGAGACGCTTCTATTTGAGAAACAGCATTCACACCACTCACCAGGTTCAAGTCGGGGGTCTTTGAAAGCAGTTTCACATAGGCACCACCACACTCAATTCCATTTTGGAAGTTTACCTCATACCTAATTTAGAAGTTGACAACAGAGAAGATGGCATGTTAGACATGAAAAAACCCCAAACCTGTTCCCCTCATGCTTCTTTTAAAGTCTCTTATTTCTAAATGAATCCTTCACAGATAATATAGCCTGGTCTTTAGGATGTGGACAAACTGTAGAATCCAGACTGCAACATGAATTAAGAGCTTTCAGAAAACTGACCCATGAGTTCAAAGTGAAGAAACTGGGTTTGTTTAGTCTAGAGGTTTTATTTATTTTTTTATAATTTGTTATTGAGAGCAAAGAGAAGTGGGACAGTTTGCAGGACAAAAAGAAACACTACAAACTTGACTCAAATGCCTTCTTAACTACATCTCGTTAATTTGCCTTGCCACAGGAACTATACTAAGCAGAGTAAAACCCAACTATAACTGCAAGCCTGTTCAGCTTCACACTCCAAGAGGCTACTTGGTAGAAATTCAAACTCATCTATTTTCTTCTGTAGGAATAGTGACATCACCAAGAACTTGAAAGAGAAACTTGAAACTATTCCATGTTTATAGTTTTCAAGGGTGGGTGGGAAACAGCATCTGCTTGCAATGCAAGTAGATAACTTGCAGTGCAAGGGTCTACCATGCTTGGCAACTGCTTACATCCTGGGTCAAACAAAAAAGTTAGTTCTGGAGCAAACCCCTCAGGCTTCCACCACCTTCTGTTTGGTACCATAAGTAAATCATTAAATTTCCCCTACTTACTGTACAATGAGTGGTTTGGTATCAAATACGAAAGGTTTTGACAATTTGGCAGAGACTGCATGATGTTTGGCCCGGCTTATCAACACAAGTCCTTTGTCCCCTGGAAGCTTCGTTTCCTTCAGTTCCTGCACTTCCCATTTACCTGGAGGAGAGGGGAGAAAGCCACAAAAACTTCAACTGATTTTGCACTAGAACTTCCAAGAATCCCAAAACACCTGTTTTACTCTACTTAAGGAGTCACTCTGCCATCATGATATGCCTTATGCAGTTTCAATGTACAAGCTAGCCATCCAAAAATAATGCATTTCTTCAGGACCTGATGAAATAGGCACTGCTTTCTGCACATTATTAGCTAAGGCCACACCCAAACATAATCACATTTTCATGAAAATGTTTAAGTCTCAAATCTTAAGCCTAGGTTTTGCTACATGGGCAATTAAAGAACTGGCCACTCACCATCATATTTGGCAATCTCATCATCTGTGTCATCCTTCTTGGCCTTGGAAAGAACCCATCTGAAACAAAATACCCAGCAGAGGTGAGCAACATACAGACAAGCATTTATAAATAAACACTAAAGAAGACCTGGTCAAAAGGACAGCAATATCCTCAAATTCCTTGTGCCCTTTCAACTGTTTTGCTGCTGGAGGATTCTGTGTATTTGCTTCTTTTTTAAGATGGCAAACATTTGTGCCACCAATTGTAACGTTAGCATTTCATTAACTTCGCAAGGGTAATACCACCATTTTCTCCATCCTATCACAACACCAGGAGAGGTAATTAAAAGCAACCAAGAGAAAAAGAGTGTAAAAGTGCACCATATGCCCCCATTCGGTTAGGTAATCAATACCTAAAGAAAGCTGCATAACTGAATATTCTACAAGTTTTAGGGACTTTGGAGGTTAGGCAGAAAGGGAGTTAGTGGCTGCATTAGGATGTTTCATTTAAACTCTGGCCATGTAACACTAACTAGCTGAGTGCTAAGGTTTCTAACGAAGCATAAAGAAATATACCCAATTCAAGGCCCAATTTGCTTTTTGAAAGCAGCTTGAGGATCACTCACCCTGCCAGAGTTCCATCATCAAAGGCTTCCACAAAATAGACATCACCTGTTGGAACAGGGGGCTTATATGTGACCTGTTGAAGAAAGAAGGAAAATTCACAAAATATTTCTTGTTTACACATTCAAAGATTTGCTGTCCAAAGAAAGTCACGGCTGTGGAGTTTGCATTCCACCCAACCAAGACTTGAAATGGTCCGAAGCATTCTTAAATTCTTGTTTATGTTGCCAATACAGAAAGAAAGTCAGTATTCTTGGCTTAAAAACTTAACTTGTTACACCTGTAAGTACTAATGTTGCCTACTGAAGGATTCACATACATTGTGAGAATTTCCCTGGTGGTGGGAAGAGCAGCATTTGAATTAGCATTCCAATGCTACTGTTTGTCAAGACAGTATCTTTAATATTATCACCATTACTTTGCTGTTACACTGAATTTTTGCATCAAAATGACTCCTGGCCCAGATCCTTGTAATTATGGAGCAATTCACACCAAAACAAGTGCAGTTCTCAAGATCAAATAGTTTAAAGTCAAACCTTTGGGGCTGGAGGAGGGGTGCTGGCTTCAGGTTTCAACTCTTCTACCTCCTCAATGCCATCTTCCAAGTCATCTTCAATATCAACTACATCATCATTGTCATCTTCACCATCATGTGCCTGGACAACAGCTGTTCCAAGAACCAGCAGTGTCACACACAGCAACCCTTTCAGCTCCATGATCTATACGTTCAGGAGAAAAGACACTAGTTGAAACACCAGCAAGAAAAGACTGCACTACAAACAAGGAATGCTAACAGGACAGGTGCACGATTCTAAACCAGAAGGAATCCCTTTGATTGCTAACTTGTATCAACTGCATCTGGTCAGCCTAACCAGGACTAGAAACCTCTCAGAAGAGATAAGAAAGCTGTGTAGAAGGCAAGCATCCATAGTACAAACTGAAATGTTAGTGCCATGGCTGAGACTTTTGTAGTCCATCTGAAACACTGCTGCAATCAATGTACAAACCAGAATATGTATAGATGCAGAACTAGCATGTCAGACTTCCTACAGAAGAGAAAAGGAGTTAACAGACTTACAAAAAGTCAATGGAAGTCTGTTGATGAGTCAGAAGTAGCATTAAAAGACAGCAAAGCAAAGAGAAAGGAAAAATAACTGGCCAAGTTCTCTGGGTGGCTGCACTCTGGATGGCTTTGCAGCTGTTTAGTTTTGTGTACAAGTACTCCTTGTAACACAGCGGACCTTGGATAGTCATCACCCCCACTGCTTAGCCTCCCATCCAGAAAAGACTTGTTTTCAATATCAAATAGGACAAAGCACAGGAGGTGAAGTTTGTTATGAAGCCGTGTGCAGGGGCAGACTCAGCAAAAAATCCTTGCTGGCTCTCCTCAGCTGAAAAAGAAGCCCCTTTACTTGAGATGCATGGTACCCAGGGCCCTCAGTTACAACAGTTAAGATTACTCTAGATGCTTCACAGGAAAGGCAATAGTTCATACTTGTTAGCTTTCCTCAGCACTATGGTTCAGAGGACCTTGGGAAAAACAATATACACAATCTACTTTAAGTCAACTAAAGTATATTGGCAGGAAGGTTACTAATTAGAGATAGCAACCACATCATCATGCGGACAAAGAGAATTAAAAAGCAGTTAATATTTCCTGAAAGGAAATATATTAAATAGGACAGCACATTTACTCATTGTACCAGTATGCAACTGCAAAGCAGTGGAAATGTCCTCCAGATGGTCTTGCTACATAGGGAAAGCAAACACTCCCCCACCCCCTCCCCCCCAAATTCCAAGATTCAAGGACAACTTCCCCCACCCTCTTCACAAGTCTCATGATGCCCCTTGAGACTTTAGTGTGCCCTTAAACAAATGCCATGCATCACCTTTGTATGGGAGGATACAGCTGTTTCTACAAGTATTCATGAAAGTTTTTTGGATCATTTTGAAGGCAGAACGAAGGCAAGATGAGGCCCCACCTGCAAGTTTTCCATTACCAAACATGATTTGATGCGTCTTACGGAGGAAGTGACAGAGACGGGGAAACGGAACAAGGCTCCTGGTATAAAAAGCAAATCCTAAATTTATAACAGCATCTCATCCCTCCCATCAAAAGCAAGACCAAAATAGCTTCTTGCAAAAAGCTATACTGGCGACATGTTCAAACAAGTCTTCAAAGCCTATATCAGAAAGCCTGTTGGGTTACAAAAACATCAAGAATCTCTGCAGGTCAGTAAGCCAGTTCTGCAACACTGCCAGATATTTTAAAGGTACCACTACTGCACCTCAAAAGATAACATAAAAAGGAGGCCAGGTTTCCAACATGCTGTCAACTGATTGCTCATACAACACCTCCATGCTGTGTACCTCTGTTTACTTAGTGTTATACATCCCAGCTTGCTTCTAAAAAAGCTGCAGTCACAACAATGACTAGTCTGAAAATTTTCACATGAAACAGCATTTTTGAACGCCCGGACTCCTTGATACTGTGCTGTTACTTATGGCAAGCACAGCTGCTGCTACTTGGTGGTGCTAAACGCAGTTGTGGGAACAGAGCTTCATCTTTGAAGTCTAGACAACTTACAGCCTTTACTTTCTACAGGAAGTCTAAAGAGAGAAAAATGCAGAGT